CATAAATGCAAGGAAGCATTAGTATAGTGTATAGGTCTGCACACATTAAATGAACACAGTAGCAGGATATCTATCCTAGGTTGGCGCGCAGATCTGCTCATTAAATGGGAATGGACAGCAAGTAGATATCATAATATATTGCTGAACTCACTTACCAGTGGTCAAAAACCTGTTTTGGAAGCTGAGTTAATAAATACCGTCGTAGGAGCATTTACTCCATGCTCAGAATCTCATTTACTCTCCTCAACCACAACATCTAACCAGAGCATTGGAGTGCATTTTTAGAGTATACAGTCTTGCGAGCATTGGAGTGCTCCAGAATTACCAAAGGTATTATTTCTACTATGATATGTAATCAGAATATGACATGTACATATGATAAATGCATGATGCCTACTATTATGAACATTCATGAAAGCAGATATAATTCCATGCCTTTGAAATAATTGAATGACATATTTCAACTATTTCATTTAAGATGAGATGCTGTTCAGGCACAAACTGTGAAAAGCCAAAATGTCATGCGTGTGGCAAACACCCTGGACTCTTTCCGTTGAAAACATGCTTTGGGTGTAATGCAAACTTGAGTCATTTTTACTGCATGGAGCCTCTAAACAAGAAAAGGTTTACTGGGAAATACATATGCATAGAATGTCAGGAATGGGTGAATGCAGACACTGATATACCTAGAAGATCAGGTCGGATTGTGACATTGAACCAGAAGTACTTCAATGAAAACATGTGTGTGGGGATGAGTTTTGGTTGGCTTAACATGTCATGACTGTAGTAATGCATTCCTATCAATGACTATGACTAAGGTTTTTGTTGGATATGTAAGATAGGTAAGCTGTTTTGTTTTTTGCATATTGTGTGGGCTGGATGTACTCATGTAATGCTCAATGATGATTAGTGTAGAATGTTGTTAACGAATTGTTGTGCAATGGTGGACATGTATACAGAATGCATTTCCTAAATGATGTTATTTCACCTGACAGATGTTTCGTGTTCTATATGGTTTTAAATTGTTTCATAAATATTTTAGAACGAGCTTATTATTGTATATATATGTCAAATATGTCAATAATATGTCAATACACATTACATAAGAGGATGGTGAAGAGAAGAAATTGAGATGGCATTGAATTAGGTACTCGGGGGTTACATGTTTTCTGGCCAACGGACTGCCAGACCACGCAGTTCCGAAGGCCACTTTGGTGGCTGGCAGGGTATCCGGCAGTCCTATGGGATGGGCCATAAGAACAAGCAATCACCATAAACAAACCGAATGAGAACTTATTAAAATGAAAGTAATAAAATGAAACAAAACATTTTGAAAGAAAACAATTTCACAGGTTTTAAAAGGTCCATCAATTGAATTTAACAAGATTCCATTTTCATTTTTAATAACAGTCCTTCAATGAAGAAGATCACCAAAAGCACAACAATCAACCGTAAAAGAAGTCGTGAAGTGGCGAACAACAAAGGTAGGTTTTTTATTCATAAATGTCATATATTTCTGTTGCACAATACATATCTAGGTGGTCATGAACTAATTAATAATTTTATAACCAGTTCCAGAGTACAAGAGAAATAAAAAAAAAATTAAGTTACATACATGACTGAATATAAGTGTACTTTAAAAAATACAAAATGTAGTGACTATAAATTCCCAGAATTTAGTTCAATCCTATAAATTAAGGGAAATTTGTTCTCCACTTAATGGTTATGTATTACAAACTTGCACAGTAATTATCAAAAATTGGAAAAACGAAAAAAATAAATTGTATATTACTCACCCAAAATACACCCAGAATTGAAGTGTGTAGGGAAATTAGTTCTTCACTTTAGGTCTGGATGTATTTTTGAAAAGAACATAACACCAAAAAGAGAATAAATTGGGAGGCACTGGAAAATACCGACTTTGGGTAAAATATTAATCTTTAATTCTGTACATACTGCCCAGAAAATAGGCTTTGAAAGGCCATTAACAAAATAGACAGCTCAAATAGGGCAGAAAATAGGCTTTCGAAGGCCATTAACAAAACAGACAGTTCGCATTTAGGTCAAAACAATGGTCTTAGTACATAATCTGTACAGAACAAAACTCCAATTTTTAAAAATCAAGATATGAATAAGTGAAGGGAAAACAGATCTGAGGTCCTTTAGAATAAGTGATGGATTAAGCAATGTATGAGACTAATCCAAAACATGAAAAGTTAGATATTAAAATCGGGAATATTCAAGAATAATACAGCCTGAGATTAGTACGTTTCGTTCAGACGGGCTATGGCATCTGTACAACAAAAAGGTGTTTAAATATGAGTGCGATGAATTTAAACAACAGATCTGAGATGAACTATTCCATAGACTGTCAAAGTTGAAATAACCCATATACAAACACAAAAATGACAGACAACAACTCTGAGATCATAGAGTATCACTCAGGCTTAGTTGATAATCTAAACAGAACAAAATTCACACTTAAAATATGAATACGCCGAAAAGGATAAATAGATCTGAGATCATGTTATATCACTCAACCTTGATAAAATTCACTCAGTGAATGAAAATAAAAATGGATTCGACACGAAAAAAACTGGGCATCCGCGTCACATGCCAGTGCCAAACAGTACAAAAAAACTCAGACTGAGATCATATTATATCACTCAACCTTCGTATAAAACCAATATGACAAAAAAAAATGAAGGAGGTTTGAGATTTGTACCCCAAGAACAGATTCGCAGGCCTGAATTACTTTGTTATTGCTCAGCTTTGTTGGAACCTTCGTCCACGGTGAGTAACAACAGTATCAAGGAAAAATAGCTGAGGATAAAAAGTGTAACAAGGAAGGTATCGATCTATAATAGGAGTTACCGATACTCATTGAATGGTATCGTTACCATTGAATGTGATGAGCGGAAGAACCGATGTATAGAGAGGGTATCCGCTGGGCAATGTGTTGGACTGGTGGGTAATTAGGGTTTGGGAGATTGGGTAGAGGGTATATATAATGAGTAGGGCGGGCTGGTGGGATTGGGCTGGCTGTTGGGCTTGCAGAATCCTTAGGCCTCTTAGTTTATAAAGATGTTTTATTGGGCTGAGTTGTTGGGCTGGGTTATTATTATTATTATTATCATATTATCATTATCATAATATAATTATTGTATGTTATTATAATTAAATATAATTAAATAATTAAATAGGGTATGACTAATTAGGTACATAATTAACACCAAAACATTGCAACAATATCTTAATGAAAATTTAAATATTTAATTCAAATATTGATTAATGTGTGTTGAACAGAAAATTGTGATCCAAATCACACGGAACATGTACTGCGGCGTGATATTGATCAATTGGGCAGTTCTCACATCACAGCACGCCGGGCAAATGTGTTGTCTTCTAAAAAAACGGGTAATTGTTGTATGAAGATTATTTTTTATTACTTCTATTATTTACTCTGTGTATATTTATACTATTTGTTATGAATAAGTTGATTATTATGAATTTATGGGCCTTTTTGTTTCACAAATTTGAAATGCAGTTACTCATCTGCCATTTAATGGCTTTCAGAGAGGGGAATCATCAATTGTAAATAATATATCTGAATCTTGGGCTATTCATCGTGATCATGAAGAACCCTGTACGGGTGGCCCAGGACAAGAAGATGATGTGATGCCTGATGAATCACACGATGTTGAAGGTGCGAGAATACTTCATTTGATATAACAATTACACTTAGGTAAGCTCACGTTTTAAGAACCTTTTTCTGATTCCAATTTTAAGTATTTTACATTTGTCACAGATGGGAGCAACGCGGAATATTGGAGTGTTGGTGAGCCGTCACACAATTGTGCGCACTGCGGAGCATTGTTTTGGTATGAAGAAAGAATTCTTCGCAGTTCTTCAAAAAAGGACCCGGTGTATTCTTTGTGTTGCAGTAAAGGGAAAATTAAACTGCCACTATTAAAGGAGCCTCCATTGGTACTAAAACAATTCATTCATGGTACAGATGCAGTTTGTAAGCATTTCCAGGAAAATATCCGTTCCTACAACAGCATGTTTTCGTTCACTTCCATGGGAGGAAGGGTAGATAGAACATTAAATAAGGGTGGTTCACCACCAATTTTTAAATTGAGTGGCCAAAACTATCACCTCATCGGGAGTTTGCTACCCCAGGAAGGAAGTGTACCGAAATTTGCACAACTTTATATTTATGACACACAACATGAAGATGCCAATCGTTTGAGCTCAGTGAGGTGATTTCGTTACCTTAAAATACGTATTTGATGTTGTCCAATCATTGCACACGTACTGTGAGTTCTAAATTTATTGTATTGTTTATGTTATTTGGTTATATCGATTTAGGAATGATGAAAAGAAGAACAATTTGCACGCTCATATTGTGTCTAAATTAAGGGAAATGTTAGACCAACATAATGTTTTGGTTAAGTCTTTTCGAATGGTTAGAGATAAACTAGCAGAGGGTGGGGAAACAAAAGTATCCCTGAAGTTAATAGGGAGGAGAACCAAGGATGCCAGAACTTACAATTTGCCAACGGTTTCAGAGGTAGCGGCATTGGTGGTAGGTGATTTTGATGAATCACTGGGGCAAAGAGACATAATGGTTGAAACTCAAGGAGGGTATTTGAAGAGAATAAATGAGCTAAATCCGGCATACTTGGGATTACAATATCCACTTTTATTTCCGTATGGTGAGGATGGGTATAGGGAGGATATACCCTTTTCTGATGAATATTTGTCAAACACAGGCGGTCGACGAAGTGTTAGCATTAGAGAGTTTCTTTCTTACAAGTTTCATGAACGGGCTATCGAGGACTCTTTCATCCTTAAGAGTAGGAGGTTGTTCCAACAAGTCACAGTTGATGGATACACGATGGTTGAGTCATCGAGGCTAATGTATATTAAAACCCATCAAAAAGAACTTAGGTGCGAAATGTACAAAGGTCTATCAGATGCTTTGCTAAGGGGTGAGAGAGATGCGTCAACACAGGGCAAGCGAGTTGTCCTTCCACCTACATTTGTTGGGGGGGCTCGATACATGGTTCAAAATTATCAGGATGCCATGGCTATCTGTCGATGGGCAGGGTACCCAGATCTATTTTTGACTTTCACATGTAACCCAAGATGGCCTGAAATTAATAGCTTCCTTTCTTCAAGGAATTTGAACCCTGAAGATCGTCCCGATATAGTTTGTCGAGTGTTTAAGATGAAGTTGGATGGCTTGATCAAATATCTAAGACAAAGTAAGTTGTTTGGACAAATTCGAGCAGGTATATTAAATATCATGTGTAATGATTCATAATAGTTGCCATTTATATGTGTGTGTTTGTGTGTGATCCAACACTGTTTAATTGACTCATTGCAGTGATTTACACGGTTGAATTCCAAAAGCGTGGGTTACCGCATGCTCATATTTTATTATTCATGGGAAATGAAGACAAATTTCCCACCCCAGCAGACATTGACCGCGTTATATCTGCTGAAATACCGGACGAGAGGGCTGATCCTGAATATTTCAGAGCAGTATGCACGCATATGATGCACGGACCATGTGGTAGTGATGCAAGGAATGCCCCTTGCATGGTTCAGTCTAAATGTTCAAAGCACTTCCCAAAGAACTTCAACGAACAAACTAACGTTGATGAAGAGGGTTATCCTAAATATAGGAGGCGGAATGATGGAAGAACAATTGTGAGGGGTGGTGCGCCTCTTGACAATAGATATGTGGTCCCCCACAACAGGTCCTTATTAATGAGGTACGGTGCTCATCTAAATGTGGAGTGGTGTAACCAATCAAGGTCCATTAAGTATTTATTCAAATACGTTAACAAAGGACACGATCGTGTCACGGCAGGTTTTTATGAAACGTCAAGTAAAGATGACAGTGACAAACCTGTTGATGAAATAAAGTTGTACTATGATTGTCGTTATATTTCTCCATGTGAGGCAATGTGGAGAATATTCAGATTTGAGATCCAGTATAAGAATCCATCTGTGGAACGTTTGGGCTTTCACTTCCACAATGAACAATATGTTTATTTTGAAGATGGTGCAGCAGTAAGTGATGTCGTGTTGCGTGAATCTGTTAGGGAGAGTATGTTTCTCGCATGGATGAGAGCAAATGCTGAGTACCCTGAGGCAAGGGATTTAACTTATGCCGAATTCCCTCAAAAATTTGTTTGGAACCAAAAAACAAGAGAATTTCAGCCGCGAAAAAAAGGGTTTGCAATAGGTCGTCTCACGTATGTGCCTCCGGGATCAGGAGAATCTTATTATTTGCGATGTGTCCTTAATTTGAGGCGTGGGGCTACAAGCTATGATGATTTGAGAACTGTGGATGGGATTATTCATAAGACATATCGTGATGCATGTTTCGCTCTAGGACTGTTGGATGATGACAAGGAGTACGTTGAAGGATTTTCAGAAGGTAGTGTTTGGGCTACTGCGTGTGTAACACCCCGGCCCCGCAGGCCCTGAGGTAGTTACTCCAGACCTCTAGTACTGTCCCCACAAACCACCACAAGCCTTTACCGCGCACTTTGTCCTCACTCATGCGCGCCCTGAGAAACTTCCCAGGGGGTCACCCATCCCAAGACTACTCCCGTACAAGCACGCTTAACTTTGGAGTTCTTGGGTAATGAGCTCCCTTAAAAGGAGATGCACCTCTGTTGATATGAGTAGTACTATTAATCCTCTTATATTAATCTCGGGTATTACAATCACCCCCACTTAGGATCGCAACGTCCTCATTGCGCCCTTAAACCAATCTCAATCAAATCCCAGAAACTTTTCCCCTGCTAGGTGTCTGCCCGATATCCAACGGATCAGCACACTGTCGCAGGGTTGCTCTGATACCACCTGTAGCACCCCGGCGCCACCGGACCCGAGGTAGTTACTCCGGACCAATAGTACTGTCCCCACAAACCACCACAAGCCTTTACCGCGCACTTTGTCCTCACTCATGCGCGCCCTGAGAAACTTCCCAGGGGGTCACCCATCCCAAGACTACTCCCGAGCAAGCACGCTTAACTTTGGAGTTCTTAGGTAATGAGCTCCCTTAAAAGGAGATGCACCTCTGTTGGTATGAGTAGTACTATTAATCCATTTATATTAAATCTCAAGTGTTACAATTGAGATTTAATATAAATCGGGTCCGGTGGCGCCGGGGTGTTACAGGTGGTATCAGAGCAACCCTGCGACAGTGTGTTGACCCGTTGGATTTCGGGCGGGCACTTAGCGGGGGAAGATTCTGGGATTTGATTGAGATTTGAGATTAGTTTATGGGCGCAACGAGGACGTTGCGTTCCTAAGTGGGGGTGATTGTAACACTTGAGATTTAATATAAATGGATTAATAGTACTACTCATACCAACAGAGGTGCATCTCCTTTTAAGGGAGCTCATTACCCAAGAACTCCAAAGTTAAGCGTGCTTGTACGGGAGTAGTCTTGGGATGGGTGACCCCCTGGGAAGTTTCTCAGGGCGCGCATGAGTGAGGACAAAGTGCGCGGTAAAGGCTTGTGGTGGTTTGTGGGGACAGTACTAGAGGTCTGGAGTAACTACCTCAGGGCCTGCGGGGCCGGGGTGTTACAGCGTGGGGCCTTAGAAAATTGTTTGTGATTTTGTTGGCAGCAGATACAATGAGTAGACCGGAATACGTTTGGGACAAGTGTTGGACATTTATGTCGGATGATATTCTGCACAGGCAAAGAAGAGCTTTAATGCATCCAGGTACTAAACAATTGATATTTCCGCATACAATTTGTTATATATTATATATATTTAAAACCATTTGTCATATATTACACATGTTATTTGATATTACCGTGGTAATGCATGTACTGTTAGATTTGAAGTTGACTGAAGCCGAGATTAAGAACTATGCATTGACTGAAATCGAAATGATGTTGAGGAGAATGGGCAGGAGCTTAAAGGACTATCCATCCATGCCATTTCCCACAATAAGCGACGCTACTCTGTATCAGAACAGGCTAATATTTGACGAGTTGCAATACGATCGTGTTGCCTTACATGAAGAGCATGACAGATGCTTACAGAGTCTTAATGATCAACAACGTCAGGTCTACACAACCATTATGCAATGTATTGAAGGAAATAATGGTGGGGTATTCTTTGTATATGGTTATGGGGGTACTGGGAAAACGTTTGTGTGGAAAACGTTGTCAGCTGCTTTGAGGTCAAAGGGGGAAATTGTTTTGAATGTTGCTTCGAGTGGCATAGCAGCTTTGCTGTTACCAGGCGGTAGGACGGCTCATTCACGCTTTGCCATACCGATCAACCCAAATGAGAACTCCACATGCAACATCAAACAAGGAAGTCCACTAGCGCAATTGATAATTCGTTGCAAACTCATCATATGGGATGAGGCGCCGATGATGCACAAGTATTGTTTCGAAGCCTTAGATAGAAGTTTGAGGGACATCCTGAGATTCACTAATTCAAATAGTGCTGAAAAACCGTTTGGAGGGAAAACAGTTGTATTCGGTGGAGACTTTCGACAGATTTTACCAGTTGTAACAAAGGGTACTAGACAAGACATTGTCAATGCAACTATTAATTCTTCCTATATTTGGCGTGAATGCATTGTTTTGCGTTTGACGAAGAACATGAGGTTGCAATCATTGACGGATGATCGTGAATATGATGATTTGGTAGAGTTTGCAAAGTGGATTGCGAGTTTGGGAGACGGAACTGCGGGAGAAGATAATGACGGCTTTGCCAATGTCCAAATTCCAAGTCACCTTTTGTTACAGTGTGGTGGCGACCCCATTGCCACTATTGTTCAAAGCACATATCCAGACTTTGAAAAAATTGTCAATGACCCATCTTACTTGCAAGAGCGTGCAATTCTGGCTCCAACCCTTGATGTGGTGGATGCAATTAACGAATACATGACATCTTTGAATGTTAGTGAAGAGTCAAGGACATATTTAAGTTCAGATAGTATTTGCAAGTCAGACTCCAATGCCGATTTTCTGGCTGATTTGCACACTCCAGAATTTCTGAACAAAATACGTGCATCCGGAGTTCCAAACCACGAGTTAACTGTAACACCCCGGCCCCGCAGGCCCCGAGGTAGTTACTCCAGACCTCTAGTACTGTCCTCACAAACCGCCACTAGCCTTTTCCGCGCACTTTGTCCTCACTCGTGCGCGCCCTGAGAAACTTCCCAGGGGGTCACCCATCCCTAGACTACTCCCGTGCAAGCACGCTTAACTTTGGAGTTCTTAGCGGATGAGCTCCCTTAAAAGGAGATGCATCTTGTTGGTATGAGTAGTACTATTAATCCGTTTATATTAAATCTCAAGTGTTACAATCACCCCCACTTAGGATCGCAACGTCCTCGTTGCGCCCTTAAACCAATCTCAATCACACCCCAGAATCTTTTCCCCTACTAAGTGTCTGCCCGATATCCAACGGATCAGCACACTGTCGCAGGGTTTCTCTGATACCACCTGTAACACCCCGGCCCCGCAGGCCCCGAGGTAGTTACTCCAGACCTCTAGTACTGTCCTCACAAACCGCCACTAGCCTTTTCCGCGCACTTTGTCCTCACTCGTGCGCGCCCTGAGAAACTTCCCAGGGGGTCACCCATCCCTAGACTACTCCCGTGCAAGCACGCTTAACTTTGGAGTTCTTAGCGGATGAGCTCCCTTAAAAGGAGATGCATCTTGTTGGTATGAGTAGTACTATTAATCCGTTTATATTAAATCTCAAGTGTTACATTAACCCTAAAGGTTGGTACTCCAATCATGCTTTTAAGGAATATTGATCCTTCAATGGGGCTTTGCAATGGAACAAGATTAATTGTTACGCGACTTGGAAATCATATCCTAGGGGCAAAAATAATGGGCGGAAAATATGCTGGGCATGAGGTTGTCATTCCGAGGTTAAACTTAACTCCTTCGGATACAAGAATACCATTCAAATTTCAGAGAAGACAATTTCCAGTTATGACCTCTTATGCAATGACTATAAATAAGAGTCAGGGACAATCTTTGTCCCACGTTGGACTCTTATTGAAGAAATCGGTCTTCACGCATGGTCAACTGTATGTTGCAGTGTCAAGAGTAACGAATCCCAAGGGTTTGAAGATATTGATCTGCGATGAAGATGGTCAGTCAACTGACCATACCACCAATGTAGTTTATAAGGAAGTGTTTCGCAATGTGTAGATTGTGAAGCCCTATATAGCATTTACTTTTATCTACTTATTCTGAAACATACTTACTACCTATCCCTGAGTTCTCACTATCTGATCTTTAATTATAACTTATTCTGCATCTCGCGTCTATAACAATTTCCATACATTTAACATGACCAAGTAAATTTATCAAATATTGTCGCATCGCTATTACATTTAATATCCCGCGCATCGCGCGGGTGAAAATCTAGTTTACTTAGTACTCTGAAGCTATAGACCATTTTTTTTTATTTAATGTAAGTAAACAAATAATCATGGGTTGGTTGGGCTCTCTTGATTTTTAGTCA